GGCCGAGGCACGGAGAAGAGGCAGCATTTCAGTGCGCAGAGGGAAGGAAACCTCCTTACCATTCTGAACTCCTATGGTAGTAATAGCCCTCTATAGACGCTGCTGGCTTCTGGAAGCAGATGTAATAGAAACCAGCAAAGGAAGCACCGCTGATGTCTTTGATGGTGTGATCTGGGACTAGGAACTGCTCCTGCACGCAAAACACAGGCTGGGTTTAGAGATGCTGGTCAAACACCCCCCCCACACCCCAAACCTGCCCTCCCAGACCGAGCACTGGCACCGCTGACACAAAGGCATTCCTGGCTGAGCATTCCCCGTGCTCGTGGCAGCCCGGAGCAGAGCCCAGCGTGTTCTTTCCCCACCTGGCACTGCTTGAATTTACAGGGAAGCAGCGACCAAGAAGAGAAGCAGCTTTAAAGAGCACACGAGATCAGTTTCAGCCCGACACCTGCCCTCTCCCAAGCAGAGCCCAATCACAGAAGCAGGAACCAGAGCTGCCTGCTGCTTTCCTCCCCTCGCAGCTGCAAAAGACTCGTGTCAAGAGGGAGGAATCGATCCAGCTGAAGAGCCGGGAGGGGCAGAGCACACAGGCCCAGCACAGGGGCTGGAGACACTGATTCTTCCACCCTCTCCGTGGCACCACCAAGCAAGATTTTCCTGTTGTGATTTTAGGCATGACTGCAGCCCTGAAGGACGCAATTAGCTGACTAGACGGGAGTCACGCTGGAATTTGTAAGCATGGCAGGTTACGAGGTTGGTTGGTAGGCCCAGATCTTTAATTTGGCCAGCAGCAGAGGTTGAAAAAGCTTCCGGGCACCACCGGCCTCTGCCAGCCAGCTGGGAGCAGCTCAGCAGGAGGAGACGCGGGGGGTTTACCTTCCATCTCATGAAGACGTAGTCCCCGTTTTTCAGATCCTCATAATCAAAGTCATCAGAGTTAAATGTTTTTGCATACTGGTAGAAAGCCTGGAACTTCCCCTGGAACAAAAGGAAAAACAATAAAGGCAAGAACCAGGATGCTTATTCCAGGAAAAGCGCCCCGTAGCGCCGGTTTCTGTTTCGGGGGGAAGAGCAGGATCCCCTCGATGGGGCTGCTCCTCCCTCGGAGCAGTGCTGAGCACACCCCTGGAGTAGCCCAGGGGAACGAGAAGGACAGCCAGCCACCCCCAGCCACCCCCAGCCCGTGGTGGAAGCTCCCGAGCTTCCAGAGGGGTGCACGTGGACAGAACCATCCTAAACATCAGCCTGGCAAAGAGCAGGTCAAGGGGGCTGAGGCCAGCAACAGCCGTGCCCTGCCCTGGGGAGAGGCTGAGGGTACTGGTGGCCTGACCAAGACACCGTGTGTGTGCCACAGGGACACCTCTCCCCTTCCCCGCTCCGTTTGTGACAAGCTCTCAAGACAAGGAGTGCATTCTGAGGGGGGAGCACGAGATGGGAATTGCTGCTGCTTCCAACCCTGGAAGGCAAAAACATCCCCTCCCTCCTGAGAGCAGCCAGCAGCCTGCTGAAGGGACCTCCAAAAACCTCGAGGGGGAAGCGTGGGCACCCTCCAGGAGAGCTTTCCAGGCCCTCCTGACAGCCCCTGCATGCGCACCCCCTGCGCCTCACCTCTACACCAGCTGCTCAGCCGGGACTGCATCAGACCTACATCAGGGCCCCGAGTTATTTACCCAGTGTTTACGATCCACATCTTCGTCAGCATCCCACTTGCGTGTTAAGAAAGGGTGCTTTTTACTGATTATTTCCCCTTCAAAGAAAGTGGTGAGGGTTGGGTACTCCTAGGAGAGAAGAGAGGCGAGAGGATTTCGTCACCTGCTGACGGGGAAAAGCAGCGGCTCGCAGCAGGGGCTCCGGGCTGCCTGAGGCTGCTCCCATCTCCCCAGGCAGCACGCTGGTGCTAAAAATCCAACTTGTACACAACCACAGCCTCCCTCCTCTCATTCCAGCTTTCTTTTGCCACTCTGTCACCTTCACAAAACCCAGAGGTGGAGCCGGGTAATCACAAGGGACCGTGTACAGATGGCACAGCTCCTCCTGAGCTCTGCATCTGAGGGTTAGGGGACGCCAGACTGAGCTGGGGGCAGTGAACCTCTCCTGCACTCGCCTGTCCTTACAGACACACCGTGCTGCAGCCAAAAGGGCCCTGCCCTGGGGAAGCACAGTAAGAAATGCCCCTGTGAGACAGCTCTCAGGACATGGGTATAGAAGGAAGCATGGAAAGACCCCGCTGCTTTGGGTCCTGTTTTATTTTCCACTGGAGGAGTGCCCAAAGCTGACTGCGGGGCCAGGTTCGGTTCTGCTCGGAGCCTGCGGGGTGCCAGACAAGCCTCCTTCCTTCAGGACTCCCCCACCAGGGCCCATCAGGACAGGCTGAGCCATTAAACTACCAAGTGGTCACTTTTACTGCATGCCCCATCCCTCCACTGCCCATTTTTGGTGGCAGCTTCTCCCAGCCCACCAGGAAAAAGCAAAGCCTTTACGCAGCACCTCCCCTTGCTGCTTGGCCCTCGGCACTCACCTCCGTAAGGCCTTTAATCTTCAAGTATCCACAGAGATAGGAGTTTTCCATATCCACGTGCTAGAAGAGAGCACAAAGCCCTGCCATCAGCACGGCGGGAGGGCACCCGGGTGACCCACAGCCGCTTCCAACCCCCTGATGCTCCAGGGCTCAGTTCTGCTGCAGCTGGTACTGATTGTCCAGCTTACAGCCCAGCATCCCTTCTGGAATCCCTTCCCCAGGGCTGGAGACACCTCGGGAAGCTCAGGAAAACCACCTGAAGGTGCCCAGAGCTCCTCTGACAGCCTCCAGCCCTGAAGGCTCTGTGGAGGGAAGCAGATCCAAAGCGAGAGCACCACCAGGGGAACCTCTCCCACCCCCTGCTCCACTTTTCCCCGTCAAACCCCAGCAGCAAATGGTGCTTGAGAGGAAAAAGCCAAGAGCACGCGTTCACTGGGGGTAATTTGGGCTGGAAAGCATCGCCCTGAGCCTTGACACCCGCTCATTTAGCAGGATCTGCCCGCTGATCTCTCACACGCTGCCTGTGCTCTGCCTTGTACCAGGCCTGAGCACGAAGCCTGCTCAGGAGGCTGGTGACACCTCGTTTTGGAAATGAGCCTTCTGCCCCGCTCTGAAGCTCTGTGTCACCCTTCCTCTGAGCTCCCAGGCTGGATCATGCCCCTCCTGCTGTGCAGAACCAAGGCAGGGGCTGCTCCTGCGCCGGGTGCCTTTAAACGAGGGGGTTTCCCAAGCTTTTTCCTGACATCTCCGGATCATTTTTCAAAGCAAGAAGTGAGTTATTCAGGGAAGCACAAACACAACTGCGAGGAGATGGCTCTCCCCCACCTGGGATGAAAGCAGAGCCACGTTTCCCTGCGCTCAGCACACGGAGGGCAGGCAGGTGCCTCTTCCCTGCCGACAGGCACGGAACAGCGGCGCTTTGGGCACCGAGCTCTGCGAGAGGGCAGCGTGCAGTGGAGCTGCTCGGCCATGGGATGTCTCCACCAGGGCCAGGTACACTCGTGCAGGGCTGCACGTGAAACCAGAGGGGTTCAAACGCTGCTGACACCGTGGGGCATCACCCCACGATGCTGGGCTGTGCCCCAGGCAGTGTCACGGCGCTTGTTGCCCCCCCCCAGCCCCTGTCTGTGCCCCCAAAGCAGGGGCAGAGCTGGGACTTGCTGCGAGAGGGCACACACCAGGCACCACTGTCCCAGTGCTGACTCCACACCCTGGCAGCTCTGCCCGAAGCGAGCGTGCCAACGCTCCCAACTAAAAATAAAATAAAAAGCGTGCTGGGTGACAACGGGTGCAGGGAGGGCTGGTACAGCCACACGAGGCTGTTCCCCAGCATGGCTTGGGATCCTCGGCTGCCTGGCTGCGTGCTGGTGGTGGGCAAAGCCCCAGCTCCCCGTGCAGCACAAGGGGATGGGGAATGCGGGGAGCCCAGCTCCAGGCAGGCAGAGCTCCCTGATGGTTTTGAGGCTGGCCTGAACGCCAGGCTGCTGGGGGGCTCCGTGACACCCCCCTCAGGCGAGGCAAACACTCACCCTGATGGGACACAGACAGAATAGGGAGGTGAGGGGGGAGACCCCAAGCTGCGAGCCCAAATTATGAGGGAGGGGAGCAGGGATAGGGGCAGGGAGAGGGCACAGAACCTCCCCCAACCATTGGGGGTGCAAGAAGAGAAAAAAATAGGGAAAAGGAGAGGGAGCAGGGGGAAAACGGGGGGAAAAGGAGGGAATAAGGGGGAAATGGGGGGAAGGGGAGGGAGCAGGGGGGAAACCGAGGGAAGGGGAAGGAGCAGGGGCACGGAGCGGGCCCTGGGGGGTTGCTGGGTGTGTGTGCGAGCCCCGGGCCCCCCCTCACCTGCATGACGACCTCCACCTCGTAGGCGTTGCCCTTGCTGCGCTGCTGCCCGCGGAACTTGGCGCCGCTGTAGAGCAGCGAGGTGGCCACGCCGGGCTGCGCCGTGTTGATGGGGGGCGGCGGCACCAGGCTGCAGGCGGCCGGCACGGCTGAGGCGGAGGAGGCCGAAGATGAAGATGAGGAAGAGGAGGAGGAGGAGGAGGATGAGGAAGGCGCCGCCGCTGAGGAGAACGAGGAGGAGGAAGAGGAGCTGGAGGAAGGCGCCGCGGTCCCACCCGCGCGGCCCCGCTCGCTGCGCACCGGCATCTCGGGGGGGTCCCCGGGCGCCAGCGTGGCCGGGGGGTGCCGGGGGTGCCGCGGCCCGGGGCCGCTCCCCGCTCCCCGCCGCCCGCTCCCCACCGAGGCCCGAGGCCGCCGCCGCCTCCTCCTCCTCCTCCCTGAGGCAGCCTCCCGGCAGCGCCTCCGCGCGCTCCCATTGGCTGAGCCCACCGCGGAGGGCGGGACTGCGAGGAGATGCGGAGCGTTGATTGGTTGGCTCGCGGTTTCTCCCGGCTCGCCGCGCCGCGGGGGGTGCTGGGAGATGTAGTCTCGCACCCCCCCTCCCCGCATCCGGGGAACGGGGAGGCCGAGGGGCCAAACCGCGCGCGAGGCGGGGATTGGTCGAGGCCGCGGGCAAGATGGCGGCGCCCACGGGGCTGTGCTGAGGGGGGAGGGGGCGGCTCCCGGTGTCCCCTCAGGGTCCCCTCGGTGTCCCCACCGCCATGTGGAGGGGTCGCTGCTGTCGCTTGCTGCTGGGCTGCGCCCCCCGGCCGGGCCCCGGTGTCCTCAAGGGGACGGGGAGGGGGCGCGGGTACGCCCCGCCGGCAGGTGAGGGGGGATTGGGGGGGTTTGGGGGGTTTTTGGGGGGTTTAAGGGGGTTTTGGGGGGGTGTGGGGATGGGGAGGGTCCGACAGGGTTGGTCTTGAGGGGGTTTCCTGGTGGGATGCCCCTCGAGGTTGTACTGGGGGGGATGGGGGTAGGGTTTGGGTGCTTGGGGAGGGGGGAAAATGGGGGAAGGGGGGAAATGCGCCCCCAAAAAGGGTGAAATCCCCCCAAAAAAGGGTAAAATCCCCCTCAAAAAGGGTAAAGTCCTCCTTTAAAAAGGGTAAAATCCCCCCCCCCCCGAAGGCGAAATGGCCCTTAAAAAGTGGAAAATCGCCCTTAAAAAGGGTAAAATCCATCCCAAAAGGTAAAATCCTCTCCCCTCAAAAAAGGTAAAATGCCCCCCCCCCTCCAAAAAAAAAAAAAAGATAAAATTCCCCTCCTAAAAGGGTAAAATCCACCCCAAAGAAAGTAAACCCTCCCTTAAAAGGGGTAAAATCCCCCCCCCAAAAAAAAAGTAAAATCTCCCCTAAAAAGGGTAAAATCTACCCCCAAAGAAGGTAAAATCCCCCTTTAAAAAGTAAAATCCACCCCCAAAAAAGGTAAAAATCCCCCTAGAAAGATAATGGGTGCTCATTTTGGGCTCGGAGTCAGCCTTCCCTTGACACCCAGGCCCAGCCGCGTGGCCTCACTGTGCTTCTTCTCTAATATTTTTGTTTGTTTTTTTGGTTTTTTTTAGGGGGTGGGGGGTGACGGAGACCCCCCAGGGGTGACTGTGGCCTACAGGGGGCTGCCTGTCCCCTTGGCGGATCTTGCTGGGAAGCTGTGGATGTGGGGACAGCCACTTTGAGGGTGTCGGGGGCTCGTTGTGGGGCTGCCAGACCCCACAGGTGACCCGTGGGCGATCCTGGCAGCAGCCCCGGGGGCGTCCACCACTTTCAGGGCGCTTCCCCGGTTGAGCGGAGCTCCCTGAAGCAGAACGGGCCTGGATGTGGCTGAAGGAGCAGGATTTTGTGACGAGGCCAGGCCCGTGATAGCACCAGGGGTTCCCTCTGTTCTGATCCGCTTTCAACACCTCTGTTTTCCCCCCCCAGAGAGGAAGAGGTTTTACCAGAACGTGAGCATCTCACAAGGAGAAGGTGAGCTCGGCTTCTGGGGCACGCAGGGGCCTGGTTCCTCGGCCAGGGGCTATCACCACGAGGCAGCAGCACGCCTGCAACCCTGGTTTATGCAGAGCGGGGCGTTTGTCACCAGCCTGCTTCGTCCTTTCCTCGTCTCAAGCAAAACCACGCGGCGGGAAAGTCTCCAAGGTCGTTAGGGGGAAAGCAGTGTCAGCACGCTGCTGGTGGGAAGCTGCTGATTCCTCGTTCCCCTCCGCGGGGTTGTCTGTTGTTCCCCAGTGCCTGCTCCTCTTTAATTCCCCAGGATTTCTGCTCTGATTCCCCAGGAGGCTTTGAAATAAACCTGGACCACCGCAAGCTGAAAACGCCGCAGGCCAAGCTCTTCACCGTCCCCAGTGAGGCTTTGGCCATCGCAGTGGCGACGGAATGGGACTCCCAGAAAGACACCATCAAGTTCTACACCATGCACCTGGTGAGCAGGAAAGCACTGGGGCTTAAAAATGGTGTGCAGACACAGAACACGGAGAGAGCAGCTCGTCCTGATGCCAGTGGAAGTGGGGATGAGAGAGCTGGGCACTGGGAGGGCCCCGCAGCTGTAAGAGCAGTTAGGTGCTGGCTGTGTCACTGGGGGAGGGTTTGAGGAGGGGCTGCAGGGTGTTATTGGGGACAGCAGGGGGAAGCAGGAAGGAGGATGAGCTCTGGGGAAATCCCTGAGCTCTGCCCTGTGGTGTTTGATGGGCTGGCTCCAAAGGCAGAACCTCCAAAGAAGATTCCTGTTGCGTGAGCCATGTTTGCTTCTACAATTCCATTTTAGCTGAGCTCCTCAGCTCTTTCTCTGCCCCAAATTCCTCTGCTTCTGCTCAGCCTTGTACAACGGCAGCTGCTGCTTCCCCAAGCCTTGAGTAACAGTGCCCTAAACTGCCTTTGTCCCGCAGACCACGCTGTGCAACACAGCCCTGGACAATCCCACGCAGCGAAGCAAAGCGCAGCTGATCCGTGCAGCCGTGAAGTTCCTGGAGACCGACACGGTCTGGTATGGGAGCAGGGCACCCTCTGCAACAGGGGCGAGGTGTTTGGAAAGGTGGTTGGGGGAATTGAGGGGAAACGTCTGCCGTAAGCAAGTCACTGCAGGGTTCTGGTTTGGCCCTAGGGGTTTGGATTAGGTAGGGCAGTCCCGTGTTTGCCACCTCGTGCAACTCCACGCACTTACAGGGCAGAGGCATGAGGGAGGGCAGGGATCTGCTCCCCTGTTGAAGTGTTTTGGAGGTGTCCTCGCTGGGCAGGAGCAGCAAGAAATGAATGTTTCCTTGGGGAAAAGCTAACAGCAGAAAGGCTTGGGAGAATCTGTCAGCCCAGTCCCTGGCACTCCAGTTCTGTAAAGGTGCAGGAAGGTGCAGTGGGACACGTCTCCTGCTCCACTAAACCTTCCTGTGGCTGGCTTCGGGCTGCCTGCTGCACTTTTCTGTTGGATGTTTTGCTGTGTTACATAGCAAGGTAGAATCATCCTAAGGAGAACAAGGAAAAGCTCTGAACTCAGGGAAGGGTGAGGGGATCGTTCCTGCTCGCTGCAGCTGCTACCATGGGGTGGGCAAAAGGCCCCGGGGTCTGCGGAGGGCTTGGCTTCCTTCCTGATACCCAGCGGGGTTTTGCTGTGCCGTGTCCCAGCTATCGTGTGGAGGAGCCAGCTGCCTTGGCAGAGCTGCAGAAAAACGAGTGGGATCCCATCGTTGCCTGGGCTGAGAAAAGGTAAGAGGTCGAAGATCTTTCTCTTGACTCGTGCCCTGCCCTCCTGAGGCCAGCAGCTTTAGCACTCGTGCCTCAGAACCCCGAGATCCACAATCCCAGTGCTTTCCTAAGGGGCTGTGCGTGATGGTTGCAGGTACAACGTGGCAATCGGTTCCTCCACCAGCATCATGGGGCCAAACATCCCAGCCAGCACCAGGGACACCTTCAGCAGCCACCTGGCCTCCTACAACATGTGGGCTCTGCAAGGTGAGAGGGGCTGGGCTGGGGGAGCGCTGCACGAGGGCAGGAGAGGCTGCTCCCCGTGGGAGCGAAAAGCTGCAATGCTTTTTTCCCCTCCTGCTGCTGTGCTGAGATGATCGTGGCCTCAAGGTCACTGGGGCTTTGTGCCTGCTGTTAAAAGCACGTTTGGCTCTTAGGAGTCCAAATGTGAGCAGGAGCTGTCGCTGGCCTGGTGACCTCCCTGAGGAGATACCATGTCTCAACTGTCCCTTCAGAGCCTGCGAAGATGCTGCTGTAATGCTGCAGAAAACAGCCCTGAATTTTGTTTGTTTTGGGTTTTTTCCCTTCCAGGTATAGAATACGTAATCACCCAGCTGAAATCTCTCATTCTGTCCATGGGCCTGATTGACAGGCACATTACCGTGGAGAAAGCCGTGCTTCTGTCTCGGCTGGAGGAAGAATACCAGGTAAATTGGTGCAGAACAACCCTATAATTCACAGAGCAATCATCTCAGCAGGACAAACGCACCCCCCACCACAAATAACTGGCAAGGGAAGGGCCTGCTATTACGGGAGAGGTTCCACTCCGCCAGCCTCCCCCTCTGAGAGGGTTTGGAGCACGCTGCTGCAGAGCAGTGTGACGGGCACAGCCGCCCGGAGTGCTCCTGGGGCTGCCAGTTTCCTTGTGCAGAACCCAGATGGCTGATTTTCTCCCTGAAATCTGGAGTGCAAAGTCGTGGATGGCTTCTCTTGCTGTGGGTTTTCCAGCCTGGAGGCCTTGCTAGACACCAAACTAATGGCTCGCTTGCTGTGAGAGCACGGGCTGGAAACTGGCCTGGCGTGAAGCTCTCCCTGACCCCAAAGCGGCTGAAATTGATGGGAATCTTTTCATCTTCCCCTAAGGGGTTTCGCCTCAGAGCCCACTAGAGATGAAGCGTGTCCTTCCACCTTACTCCTCTGGAGTTCTCCCTACCCCAGCGGTCAGCAATCGGCACACCTCCTGGGCAGCTTGCCATGTTTCACAAACACGAAAGGGGAGGCTGAGCAGCTGGGTGCATAATCCCCTTCTGAACTGACTCTCGTTCCTCCTCTCCTTCAGATTCAGCGGTGGGGCAAGGTGGAGTGGGCCCACGACTACGATCTGTGCGAGCTGCGTGCTCGTGCGGCCGCTGGGACTCTCTTTGTTCACCTCTGCTCAGAGAGCTCCACCGTAAAACACAAGCTGTTGCAGGACTAAGGCTGCCGGGCCGGGCGGAGGAGGAGAACCCACAGCTGTGAGTCGCTGCTGTGACCCAGGGACGGTCACCACCACGCTGCCACCACACCTCTGGGATCAGCCTGGAGCTGAGGAGCTCTGGGAGCAGCTCCCTGCTCAGACTGCCTGCTGCGGTGCAGCGCCAGCAGTTTTGAGCCCACGAGGAGGAAAGGTCAAGGTGAGCTCCCTCTGCGTGTTGGAGCCAGCAGCCCTGCCCGTTACCGCTGTCTGGAATTCATCTGATGAGCTCCCAGGGAAGAAGCAGCTTCCTGGGCAGGGCACGGCACAGACACACCCAGCATATGCCACATGTCTTCAGAGCTGCCAGCTCCTGACACGCACTTGTTATGGAAATCTGAAAACAGACTCGGCTGCATCTGTTCTTCATCCCTCAGTGTGCCTGCGTGTAACACCAGGGTCTCTCTGTTTGATTAAAGGCACGCCCCTGCTAGATACAGAAAGCCAATGCTGCCGAGTGTTTCTTTGTTTTAATCGCCAAACTGCGGTGTGGCTTCTGAGGTGCCAGGCTCTAGGCAGGTGCAGGAATGGCTGCAGGCAGACAAAAACAGGAGCAGAACCGAACAGGCAGTAGCTACCGAACAGATCTGCTCCCTCTGCGTCTCTCTGTGAGCCTCTCTGTGCTAGGTGCCCTGTCCTTGCAGCCAAGGAGTAGCAGGGAGCTGATTTATGCAGCCCTGGAATGAGACCGGGGGAAAAGCTGGGCTCCAGCCATCTTCAGAAGCGCAGGGCACTCGGAGCTAAATCTGTACGTCAGGCAGCGCCAGCTACAGGGCTTTCGGGAGACCTGGCCTCTCCCCAGAGCTCGTGTGCAGCCACCCTTTCATTTAACCTTCCCACCTCTTTCCTTGCTGCTTGCCTCGAGCAGTACCGCCCTGGCCAGCATCATTTCTCAGAAGCTGCCCACATGTGAGCGGAGCAGCTGCTGTCACCGAGCAAGGAGGGGAATTAATGACTCCTCGCTTGGCTGTTGCGAGCAGCAGTGTGTGAGCTCCTGTGGAACCATTGATTTCCCTCCCTGCTAGCTGGGGGCTGCTCTGTTCACGCTGCAGAAAGCCGCTTTTGCAAGAGGTGGCGAGAAGACAAGGCTCCTAGGCACGCAGAGCCCCAGCCAGCCTTGTGCTTGCTGAGCTGGAAACCTGCTGTTATTCTGGGGGTGGGTTGATGGAGAGCGCTCCTCTCCCCGGCTGCCTGCGGCTCACAGGTTCCTGTCACTGCTCGCAGGTACTAAAGCTTTCAGGCGTGATGCGCTGCGCTGATTTGGTTCAATCGGCTCACAGCTGAGCCATAACCCCTTGCGACCAGGTCTGAGCACCGAATGGGCTCCGTGCCAATGGGATGGAAGAGACAAAGCTTCATCTGCTTTTCTAGAGGCAATGAGTATCTTTTATTTGCAGCTTAATGTGGGAGGGGAGGAGCACGCCTTCGGCCTGAAATGTCCTAGACAGCTCAGGCACAGAGGGGCAGCCGTCCCTGCTGGGTGCTGTGCTGCGGGGGCTGCCCTGTGCGCACCCAGAGGCAGCTGTCCAGCCCCTGGCACACCTACTCTGGCGGCTCCACGAGCACTATGCTATCCAGCTGCTCCTGGAGACTGTTATCCAGCTGCTCCTGGAGATTGTCGATGTATTGGAAAATCTCTTTGACACGGTTGCGGTTCCTGTCGATCTCATCTTGGAAAGCCTGAAGAGATGGAAGCCAAAGCAGTGCACCCACAGGCTGCCCAGCGCCCCTGGCTGCAGCACCGAGGGCTCCGGCAGAGCTTAGGGAGCGTCTCCTGCAGCAGCATCCCCACCAGCAGCCGTGCCCCAGCCCCACGTGAGCACGGAGGCCCCTTACCTTCCCCGTCACAGAAGCCTGCCAGCGATAGGCGTTGGTGAGGATGTCACACTCCCGCATATCGATCTTCAGCAGGTGGACGCTGTGGGACGCGTTGACCATGTTGACGAGGGTGGTTTTGTCCACCAGAAGCTAGGAGGCAACGTGAGCGGATCAGGGGGAGGGGGGTGGGCGCACAGCGAAAGCATCAGAGCTCAGAACGAGCAGCACAACTGCAGTGCTTGGGGGGAAGAAAACAGGACCCGTGTTTCAGAGCGACAAAGCTCCAAAATTCTGAAAAATTCATCAGGATAATGAATTTATTTTTTTTCTGAAAAATTCATCGGGATGAATTCAGTGCTTTACCCTCTGCAGGGACACGGAGCCTCGCTGTGCTGGGGCATTCTCCCTACTGCAGATGGGGAAACTGAGGCAGCACCTTTGGCCCTACCTGCTAGAGCAGGGAGCAGATGCCTGCTGTGGGCTGGCTGCCTTGCAGCACACGGCTGCCCCTGCGGGCAGCTGCTGTCAGAGCAGGGCTGCGTGAGTTCCAGCTCGCCCACCCCAGCAGCTGGGGGAAGTGGAAAATCGCACTTGGAAGGGTCTCTTGCGCTGCTGCCGCCGGCTGTAAATCTTCATTTTGGAGAGTCCCAGCTTCTAATCAAAGCAGTGACTTCTCCCGTGGCTCTAAATAGAGGGTGGCTTTGCTAAAGCGTAATGGCTCTCCTCCTGCAGCCAAGTGCAGCTGTTGAACAAATGAAGATTGCTTCTCTGTGGAAATGGATGGCAGCGAGGCAAAATGGGTGCACAGCAACGGTGCGTAACTGCAGCCATCTGCACAGCCCATAAAGCAGGGAGCTCCCCCGGGGGACTGAGGGGTCTGTTTTGTGTCTGTCAGCTCTTGATTACCCAGAGTAATAGGGGGGCTGGGATAATCCGGACCGAGCGAAAACACAGTGAATGCAAAACTCAAGTCAATTAGCCACTAAGCGAAGGAATAACAGAGGCAAAAAGGTCAGCAGCATTGCTGACTGGAGCACTGCAACAATCTTTGTGCTTTCTGAAAGGCTCCTGGGACCCCTGAGATCAGAGCAAGACTGGGGCTGCGGTGGGAGGCTGTGTTTGAAATGTCGAGTCCTGCCTCCAGAAGAGCTAAGGGGTGGGAGACCTCCGGGTGGGGGCTGCTCCTGAAATCACCGAGGCAAACAGAGCCCCCCTGCAATAAAGTGGCGTTTGGGGTCTCGTGGGAGAAGCAGGAAGAATCTGAACAAAACCAGCTTCAAGTGCAGCAGGGAAGCTGCCTAAGTGCCTGCTGGGTTGGGGCTGTCTGGAAATCAGCCAGAGAAAAGAGCTGTGCTGGAGGCAAGAGAGATTTGCTCAGCACCTCTCCTGGGCTGCTGCCACCAGCTCTTGCAGAGCCCAGGGAAACCTGCAGTGCAGTCATCCTCTGTCCTAGTCAGCAGAGATGCCCAGCAGCACTGCGGTTCAGCCAGGCAGCTGGGACTTCCTCTAAGGAAGCTACGTTCTGGTTTAGACCTAGCTCTAGCTGTATTGAGCCTCCTGGAAATCCCTCCCTGTCTGAGAAAAGGCTGTGGCCTTCTCTTCCTGCCGATTCCTTAGTGGAGGTGAATTATTTGGTGCCCTCACCTCACGAACGTCGTCTGGAAGATCCTCATCAAGCTCATTCTTGACTGATTTCTCCAGGGTGTTGATGGAGACCTCTAGCAGCTTTTCATGGTGACGGTTTTCCAGGTCCCGGCACTGGGCCATCGTATAGAAGACGGTTAAGGAAAAAGCTGAGCACACCATTCACTTTGAGAGATGAAACTGGACCTCCTGTAACGAGAAGCTGAGGCTTGGAAAAAGCAACGATGTGAAAGAGAGCTGCCAGGCCTAATGCAGGCATGCAGAAAAGCACTCTGGTGTCCTCTGTCCTCACAGCAGGCTTCCAAGGGAAACAGCCGAGCTGCTGCCAGAAGCTGCTGTGATGTCAGGATTTGCACTTTCTGCTCTTAATCACAGCTCACATCAGGTCTCATCCTCGCTGCTGTATATTACACTGAGACTGTGCCTGGGTTTGCGGAGGAAACTGAGGGAGGCCTCTCAGGATAAAAGCCAAGCTCTGAATATGCCAATTATTTGCACCACGCCAACAGATTTATTTATATAGGGTAAACTGTCACTGAAGTACTTCGCTATTCTTATCTCACCTTGTTCCAGAAGACATCCGTAACACAAAAATGAAGGCCATTTAAAGAAGCTTCAGGAAGAACCGCAGGTACTTCTATGGCAAGAAAGCACATAGACAGCCTAGCCAGGTCTTCTAGGAGTTGTGTCATGCGTGGTTGAAGGAAAAAAAAAGCAAGATTCTTACAGGGGAGAAAGCTGTGTAAGTCCTACAGAATTTCAGTACAGGAGAACTTAGCCAGAGCCCTTTGTGCTTTCCAAGTCTTCAAGACAGACTTTGGGCACTTTAAATGGCCATTCCTGCAAAGCTGGGAAAACGGCTTTTCTGTTGACTAAAAATAATCCGGTTCTATTCCAAGGGCTCAGTTCTGGATTTAGGAGTGAGGCATACGTACCTCCCTCAGACGTCCACACCAACACGCTGTCAAAAGGATATATCCCTTTAACGTTTTCAATGAATGTTGATGCTATGACAGCAATGTTTTTTTCAAAATCCTTTATTAGTTCCTTAGCAGAAGGAAAAAAGAGGAAACGTTACAATGAACACTTTCCTGAACACAAAAAGGAATCTAGGAAGCACCTAAAATTGATTATAAATTGGACTCACTGCTGTTATTAGCACAGTCAGAAAATGAACTGCCTGAAGCATGTAAATTGTTTGAAAGTTGCAAGAGTTTCTTTTCTCATTCAGGGACAGAAAATCAGAATCAGCTCGCTAGAGAGAAGTTGACTGAATGATACTTACCTGGTCTCTGGAGCGAGTCAGCCGATCACTTTGAACCCTCACGTAACGCACAGAGCGTGCTGTATTCCTGCACGCTGCCATGCTGCAGTCTCCTTGTATATCTGAAAAGCCTCTTGTCAGAGGCAATAAGCAGTGCCTAGGCTTACTGCAGCTTTTGTTTTAGTCCTCAGAAACTAAAATTGCTGCTGCCTAGTGCCTCTCTCAAAAATGGCTGCCGGAGAATCTGTTAAGTGTTGCACTTACTGTCTTGATAAAACAGTTACAGCCACCCAAATCCTGTAAATCCAGAAGGGCATGCACACAGGAATGCTTCTGATCTTTCCACCAGTGATTGCAGATATATTAGGAGCAATTCAGAAAGCATTAAAAGGCGCAATCCTGATGCAGTAAGGAATCCATTTTGAGCTCCTGCTTTCTGTCACGCACATTCACAGAAGTAAACTGCTGCATCTGCTTGCATAAAGGCTGCAGATCCTGCCTGTTAGCTTATAATAGATTAGGGCTTTTTGTTTGTTGTTGTTTTTAAATGAAGATGCACATTAGGAGCCCTGCCCTAGTTTTTGAGGAGAAGTCTGGGGAGAAAAAAGGCAGCTATTATGCAAGCAAATGCGGTAAGCTGAGCAGGAACGTGTGTAATCTTATTCATAGCGAGGATCAGCTTCAAAGAATTACACTTCTAGAATCCCAAATGCATATCCCAT